CCTGCGAATAAAAGAAAGTCAAATCAGTTCTATTCATTTAGAGAGAAATAAAAAGAAGCACATCCACTGACTCTGAGGACTCTGAGTGAGTGTTCTCCCAGGCAGGGCAGGCCTGTGAGTTGGGACATATTGGTGACAGCTGAGGGAAGAGCCTTCAACACGGCGGCCGCCCTGCGGAACGCCACACCTCGGCCGTCCTCGTCGCTCAGCTCTGCGTTTTCAGCCAGGAGCGACAGAGCGTCCTGAGACAACAGCAACAAAGAAACACAACTCAGCTCTCATGTGACATGGAGGTTTCAGGAAACAGTCACATGACCCGAGTTAGCCGCGGGCAGGAGCCTACGGTCAGGACAGCGTTGTGGTTTTTCAGGGTGCTCCTCCTCTGACAGGCGTAGCTGGGAACGGAGAAGGGAGTAACCTCAGAGTCGTTCACTGCAAACTCCTGAAAAACATGCAACCAACATATTAAAGAGGCAATATTTTGTGTTTCCAGGCAAAAGGTCCCATTTCTTAGCACAATCAAAGAACTGTTGCCCTTAAATTGCAGTACATAAGAGATATGATTTAAAAGAAATCCGACTTTGCAATTTAACACCGTCAAATTGGGCCTCTGTCTCTTTAAGAAACTCCTGCTCTTTTTGAAGCTCCACCTTCAGGAAGTCATCACAACATGACTCATTTATTAACCCTTTAACAATCTTTTTTTTACTGCCGTTGCTCTGAGAAGTATCTCCTATAATGAGCTCAGGTGTTTGCTAACCGCCGCTGACTCATCTAAAGGAGCTCAGTGGGGGAGGAGCTGCACCTCGAAGGCGGAGCTAGACCCACCCACCGGTTTATCACAGCTGAATGGTTGTCCTGGACACTAAAGGACTGAATGAAAGAATCAAAGCCACACTGCAGGTCGGTTTTTGATTATGTAAACCTCAAAAAAGTCAATTTTAAATAGTACTGCATCTTTAATGTCTATAACAAGAAATTCAAGTGAAGAAAAAAATTTTTTCTCTTCATTGACTGGATTGACTGTTGCTTCTTTTTTTTTAGCTTATATGTGGATATAAGCCTAATATAGATCATTTTAATGTTATAGGTAACTGTATTTTTGAAATATTTATTTGTTAAATGTATCAATTTCCATCAACCTATTGTAGTCATTTCTCCTTCTCTGTTACAAGATGACCTAAATAATGCTTTCATCCCAACACTGAGCATGTATGAAAATGACTGTTGCACCTGTAGTTTATGTCTGTCCAGTATCTCCACTGGGTGTCCGTCACGCATGCTTTCTGTGTACCAGCTGACGTCCAGCAGGTGGCGCCCTGCCTGCCCTGCTCCCTGCGCCTCCAGCCACACCCGGGCCTCCTGAGCAGTATTGCTCTCACAGACAATGTGCGTCACGTTTTCACTGTGGGGAACAGCACGGTTTTCATCTCACAACCACAGCGACACAAATTAATGCTTCATTTCAATGCAGAATGATATCTGTGCATGGTTTTCTATTGTATTTGCCAGTAAAAATATGACAGGGTTTGCATTTGTTTTACTATTTTGTGTCAGGGCCACTAATTAAGCCTCCTTAAAGAACAATTTTCATCCACCCTTCTTTGCTAAATAATAATAAAGTCAGATTGAATTGAGACCTGCTGTGAAGGTCAACTTACAATTCTCACCATAGACTGTCAATTAGACTTTGACCCTGAAACTCTTGAAAAATGCTGTGATGAAAACTGTTCTGATGGAAAGTAAAAATCATTTTAGCACCAAATTGTTTTCGTCTGACTAAAGCAATAACAAATTTAGCAGTAACAAATTTTGCCGGACGATATAATTTGTTCCAGAAATTATTGCGATAAACGATACTATTGTTATCGTTCTGAGTCAATTTTCAATTAAAGACATTGTCACGCTTCCATAAAAGCCAGTAAATATCGTTGCGCCGACAAGTTGCGGCTGAAAATATGTCATTCATTTAGTTTTATATCAATGTTCTACTTTGCGTTGGCCTGTTGAAGTTTGACTAGTTAAAATGCAAACAGTAACCATAGTGATATGAGCACCTTTTCGATGCACTAAATTAGTAAATCTGTATTTCATTTCTTGCCCCCGTCAGCGCGTGCTCCCTCACCTGAACAGATCCTCCACCTGAAATCCTTTCCTCCGGCCGAGTTGAGAGAGAAAAGCTCTGCGACTGGCTCCCATTTTCCTTTCCAACAAGAATAAAACAACCTGAGGGAACTTAGTCGGTTGTGTTGCTGCGCTGTTGTTCAGAGAGACCGAGTTGGCGACTTTCCTCCGCTTTAAAGGCACCATTTCCTTTCACCTGACCTACAAACCTGGGTTTACTAACTTCTTATTTGATAAAGGCGGACATTACGAGCTGTCTTCAAATGAACATTTGTAAAAAGACGATAACTAGAACACGTCACTGTGGTTTTAGTCATTGGGTCTCTAAACAGCAACTGCCGCCCCGCTGCATCCCTCCAGCAGGTAGAAGGACCACAGAGTCTCAGTGCAGAAGGGGGTCAGAGTCGCAGATGTGCTTGGAGAACCGCACCACCGGCGGAGCGTTACCAAAATAGTTCCGACTGGAAACAACACGCGAAGCCAAACTGTGCCTCTCAAATGATTGTTCTTTATTTGAGAAAAAAAATGCTTTTGCGTTAATAATATATTAACAGTATATATATATATATACTGCAATACGTACAGTATATATGAGATATATGGTATCAATATCAGACGCAAACTTGAGGAAAGCTAGAATAGAATAGGCTGCTGCTTACAGGACACATAAGTGAAAAAAATACAATAAAATTAAAGAACAAAGGAGATTATACATTCCGGAAACTGGAAATAAACGACAATGAAAAGTAGTCTTATAACCAAAATAAATAGACAATTAAATAAAAACGAACTATATAAAAAAGTTTGTTTATCATATGATACAGTTCCACTTCTTGTTGTTCAGACATTAGAAGAAGTGATAGAGTTCCTTGTGAAAAGTGGGGAAAGATAGTGTAAGTTTAGTAGGAAAAGGTTCACTAACCACAGGAATCATTTCAACCTTGAGAGGATTATTAGGCAAAATGGATTCAGGCCAAAGCTGGAGTGAATTCACCAAGAAGAGTCACTACATACAGATGAACACAGTCTAACTGTCACCTGGGCTGAAGAGGAAAGCAACTGGCCTGTTGCTGCTTGGTGGTCCAAAGAAGACAGTAAAGTTCACTTTTACTTGAATCAAGAACCCAGACATATAGGATCAAAAAATGTTAAAAACATATTAATCACCATATATGTCTGTTAATATAATCATTTCTTTATCGATCTTGTGTAAAATTCTATGTTTGTTCTTTTTTATTTACTATAAGTCATAATAAAATTACAAGAAGTTTTGAAATATTTCATTCTAAGTCTATCTAATATGTCAGTCCATCCACCTTCTCGTCACCTGCTAGGACCAGATTTCCTGTTAGCGGTAAAAAAAAAACCCCATCTCCACAGCATGATGCTGCCACCACTGGGATAGTGTGGACAGGATTGTGTTTAATCTGGGATTAAATTAAACAAAAGTCAGCAATATTTCAGAGCATTTGAAGACAATTGGTTGGCAGGAAGAAGGGGACTGAATGCAAATGTCGGCCACAATTTTAAACTACAAAAATGTTTACAGCAATGTTGTAGCTTTGTAAAACCCTCACAATCATGGGAGTGCTTCATGACGGTCCAGGCAAAAAGTCCCAGTCAGACAAACTGAAATTTGCGGTTGTCAAATAGCAAAATACGACAGCATTTTCAAAACTAACTTAAAAATACAAAAGGTGTATGAATAAAATGCTTGCTGTCGTATTTTGTGTCTTCGATATGTTAAAATTTGTATGATAAAGAACGACTTAAAGCATTTTGAAAGTTTCAACAGCTCTTCTGACCGAATAGATCAAAATGATGTCGTTATGTTTCAGAACGTTTAGTCACTCTAACATACTGGATTTCTAATGTTTAAAACGCCCACTCATGGTGACCCACTGTGCATCTAACACTGGGATTTTATCCACAATTTCAACACTTTAACGATCAGATGTCTGAGGCACGCTGTTCTCACTTTTGCCTTGTGACACAATTTCATCTTCCTGAAATAATCCCAGACCGTGTGAGTGGTAGGGCTGCCTGTAACTGTCGATTATTAATTCATCAATGAATCAGCTAAATGGCACATTCGAAAGATTTTTCATTGGACCACTTAAACCTTTTCTGAACAATATTAGAGATACATTTAAAAGAGGCAGCGCCCCACCCCTAAATAATTCAGTTTCTTTTTTTAAATGAGAAAATAATCATTTTATTACCAAAAATATCATGACATTTCTTTAGTCTACACTTGATTTGTGGCAAAGGACGTAAGAGATAAAAACTATCTCTAGCTTCAACATGTGAAAAGATCAGCCCTTTCTGCTTGGCTGTTCATCTACAGTGTTGGGTTTATCTTTTTATTAACCAGTATGTATAAATCTATCAGCAAACACATTATTTGGGGGGTGAAAAAGTGCTGCAAACCGCAAACTCCTTTTAATGAGTTGATTATTTGAACTCATTAAATGATTGTGGATTATTTCAACAATCAAATCGTCACGATTAAGCCGATTAATCGTTTCAGGTCAAACCTGGAAGGTTACAAGCTGGAAAAGAGCGATATGTTGTTTAAAGAACCCCCCCCCCCCCAAAAAAAAACATATAGAAAAAATGAATTCCACTCAAGTGTAATTCTGTTACATAAAACACATTGTTTATGGAAAAATGTGACAAAAAAAAGAGCAGTCAAAATGTGCTGGGGAGATTATGAAGACATTCATGAGACAGGCATGTTTTAAATAGGCCACATGCAACAGAAACTGCAGCTGACTATTTCAGTGACTGAACTCGGTGAGGTGTGAAGTTGGTCAGCAGTTGTTCTCCGTCTCCTCCCCCTCGGTCTCAGTCATATGACAGCTGACTCTCGACTCCACTTCCTCAAACTTTAAAGCCAGACTCGGGGATCCCAGGCACCGCGTGCGGCTCCTGCTCTCTCTCTCTCTCTCTCTCTCTCTGGCCTGAACCGGGCCTTCCTCTGAACGGCAGCGCCGGGGCGAGAGCAGCAAGGCCCGGAGCTGCACCGCGGAGGCTCCCGTAGCGGCTCGACGGTTCCCCCGGCAGGCATGAGCGGAGGCAGGGGCGGCGGCGGGGCTGCGGTCCGCCGGCGGAGCAGAGGACGCGCCGCAGCGGCGGCCCTGACGCTGCTGACGGCGTTGCTCACCTGCTGCGTCAGGTGCGCGGAGGGCGTCAAACCGAGCAACATCATCCTCGTGCTGGTGGACGACCAGGACACTGTGCTGGGGGGGATGGTGAGTCGGTGCACCCGGAACCACATGCTTGATCGATTGCATTGATCCCGATGGAGCTCGTGACAGCGGCGTGACATCATCATAAAAACTAAAAAGAAAAAACTTTGCACGAAGGCTTTGAGCTTCAGGCATAAACTTCATAAAGTGCAATGTTATTCTAGCTACTCGGTTATGATCTCTTATCAATAAGAATGATCCACTTTGTTTCGGCGATTAATGATTAATCACTTTAACCGAGCTACAGATGGTGTTATTATTCTACTCGGTGAGAGCAGATGTTTCTGCAGGTAGATCATAAATGTCACACCTTTAACTGATCACCAGTAAAATGGAGATGTTGACGGATTAGTCTGACAACACTCTGACAGGAGTGCCTTTAGGGAATGTACCGATCCAGCTTCTCTCCGGCGATATACCGATCTGTGGGTTTCTCTTCGGTCTGACCTGTTGATTACAATGTTTCCCTCCTGCCCTCCCCCAAAAGATAAAACGTAAAGCTGCCACTTTTTGATGATGGCTTTTCCATCTCCTAAAATATTAAGATTACAATCAAACCCCATATTTAGAATGTTTGCAGGATTTGTAAAAAAAAAAAAAGCCTCGGAGTATATACTGCATGTTAGGCATCGGCTGGTAGGAAATTCTCATTGTGTAGTAACCATAAATAAAAATAATTTAGCATTTTTATTAAAGTATTGTGGTATTTACATAAAATCTAAAAATAACCCAGAACATACACCACAAAGACACAAAATCTCACCAAGTATTTTTTTCTAGTTTAAATATTTTGGTACACTTGAAATACTACCACGACTTATACTACCACTACCATTACTATCAATAATAATAATAATAATAATAATAATAATAATAATAATAATTAAGACAAAACTAACAAGTAACTTTTCAGCAAGGTATAGGAGCTTGATTCAAGTCAATAGTTCTTATATTAGACTAATAATACATTTTCCACATTTTAAATGAAAAAAAAAAAATTGACTTGCAGCAAACTCCTGTATCATGCAGAAAGGTTACTTATAAGTCAGTTTTGTCTTCATATTTTAAGTGTACTAAGATATTAACACTAGAAATAGACAAAAACACTTGATTAGATTTTATTTTTTCTTTTAGTTTTCATTTAAAACAGTAAAGTTGGCCAACATGGGTGTTAAAACTACATTAAAGATGGTGGGAGTTATTACTTTAGTTTCCTCACCAAGACTCTTGTTTTTTGGGGAGACAATAATAATTCACCTTCTTACTGGTTGGTGGCAGTGATGCGTCATATCGTTGTTTTCCAACCACCATTAAAGTCAAGAAGAAGAAAGATCTTAATGCATGCACAGTATGACGCTCCATCCATTTGTCCAATGTTATTAACTTAAATTTCTAATTTCAAACTTGCATATATTTTTAAAATTGACATTATTCCCACCCCGTACACTACCTGTAGAAAAATCTATAGTTTTAGTTCATTTGATGGAGAAAAAAAAAAAGGTTCAGTTATCTCTGACCTGTTGATCACCAATCATACCAACGTCTGGTCGATTGATCACGGCATCTCTTTAACTTCTTTTGTCAGCGTTCTGGTGTGTTTTCATGCAGGGACATGAGCAGCTTTGCGTGTCTCACACTTCTTGTTTCATTTCGGCAGACGCCTATGAAGAAAACGAAAGCACTAATAGGAGAAGCAGGAGCAACATTTGTGAACGCTGTGAGTATTTCAGTCTTCTCACTGTTTGTCATGTTCACAGGAAAACCACCTATTGTGTTTTTCAGCTGCGAAGTCTCGCAGTTGTCCATGTTGGTTTTTGTAAATCAACACGCTTACAGAAGATGGCTCTGTTTGTTTGTTAGGAATCCAGCAGGGACAGTGTGTGATTAGTTTAACCAAAACCACAAAAATCTCAGTATTTGCCATTTTTTTCTGTTTCATTGTCCATTTTAGTGACTCGTCCTTTTTTCTGCTGTCACACTTGTTTTTCTCTCTCCTTTGTTTCTTTATGACAGAATCAGTGTCACTTTTAATGAACTGATTGAGAAATGTGAAACTGTATTGAACAAATAATCTGTTTTTATGATTTTTGAGATAACTGTAAAATATATTTTCTTACATTTAAATGCCGGCTGCATCGATAACTCAGAAATAAAATGTTTGAATTATATTGTTTCTCTGGGTTATGCTGAGTCGCTCTCTTCTTCGTTGCTCTTCTCCTCTGTAGTTCACGGTCACGCCGCTGTGCTGCCCCAGCAGGAGCAGCATCCTGTCGGGTCGGTACCCCCACAACCACGAGGTGCGGAACAACTCCCTGTCCGGGAACTGCTCCAGCGCTCAGTGGCAGAAAGGACCTGAAGCCGAGGCGTTCCCCGTCTACCTCAGCAAGCAGAAATACCAGACGTTCTTCGGTGGGAAATACCTGAACCAGGTCCGAGTTCCCATCGTGATTTATCAGAACAAAACAAATGGCTTTCGACAAGCTCACCGACGGCTGTTCTGGGTGCCGATGTTTGTAATATTCACATTAGGGATGGGCATTTGTCATATCACTTATCGTTTATTGCGATGCATATTTTTATCGCGATAAAAATTTTGATCCGGTCAATGACAATTAAAAAAACCCCAAAGCCATCCATTGCGCTTCAGTAAATTCCCCTCTTTAAAAAGTCAAAAACAACTGACTTTTTGAAACAATTTTGTTGCTTTTTTAGAAATATTCCAGAAAAACAACAAGAAATATTTGAGCTTAATCTCAAAAAGATTTTTGACAGAGATTTACTCGCGTTTAATTTATTTCTGTCTAAGGCCTTAAGTCTCTATCGCATTCACCTCCATATTTTCTATGAATTCTCTTTAGTACAGTGGACATTTTTATAGAAATAAAATCTCTGAAATTTGAGATTGATAAGAAAAGAAATTACTTTTGGAAATTTTCTGAGCTTCAAAAGCAGAACATTTTTGACTTTTGAAATTCAAAAATTTTGAACTTTTTTTTTTTTTTAGCAAATCTGTCAGATTGATCTCAAAAGCTTTTTTTGACAGAAATGTACCTTTCGTTGCTATTTTTCCCTCCCCTATCAATGCTGGTCCCAACTCGCGCTGTGCTCCATCTCCACCAGTACGGCACCAAAGCCGCCGGAGACGTCGGCCATGTCCCCCCTGGCTGGGACCATTGGAACGCCTTGGTGAGTGCTGCGTTAAAACGTCCGTTTGTCCTGCGGTCTGCCGCGGCTCTCGCCTTACCGGCGCTGTGTGATGCTGCAGGTGGGGAACTCCCGGTACTACAACTACACTCTGTCTGTGAACGGCAAAGCGGAGCAGCATGGAGACAGCTATGAGAAGGACTACCTGACCGACCTCATCGTGAGTCACACCCTCACACCTGTGACTCCTGCTCACACTCAGCCTTGTGATCGGCGGCGTTTTATGAAATCAGTGGTTGTTTACGCGAGAATTTACGGCAGAGCTGCACACATCAGTTGCGACAGCGCAGAAATTTAAAAAGCTCAGCGATGTGTGAACTTCTCTGCCAGAGAAACAAGTTGCAGCACTCGCTTGCTGAGCTTACTCAACATGTCGGGCGTCTTTATGCGGTGATGAGGTTTCCTGCAGACACACGGTTTCCTCATTGGAAATTACATTACATTACATGAGCTTAATCTCAAGAAGATTTTTGGCATAGATTTACTCGCGTTTAATTTTTTCTGTCTAAGGCCCTAAGACAGACAGAATGAACCTGCACACACGCATGTGGATGAAAACTTTTCTGGAATCCAGTGTGTACAATGTTATTTTTTAAAAACACTGTTTCCTCATTGGAAACCGTGTGTCTGCTGGTTGATAATCCTTTGGTTTAACCAGAATAACCAGCTGTCTATGTGGAATTTGTGATCGGCAGATTATACAGGAAAGAAAAACAAAAGTTCCTGGAAAAATAAAAAAACAGAGAAAAGAACAATGTGAGGAAAGGCCTTTTTGTGCAGAATGAATCTATTTCTGTGTGACTCTTGCTTTTTGCTCTATTTCACTTCCTGGGTTTCTGTATCGGGACTCGTCTCTACTTGGCTCTAAAACCATCTAAATGAAACCTCATGTGTTCAAGTTTATCCAGTTGTCTCCAGTTCATTCACTTGACACTTGACTTTTTCAGACATTCTGTAGATCTGCTGCTGTTTTTCAGATCCTTTTCATGACCCGGTTTGGGTCAAACAGCAGCCTCACTTTCCACTCTTGATTGTGCATTTAAATAAAAAAAATGCTTTAGCTATCCCAAAAGGAAATGAAATGTCACATCCAGAGCCAGTCCTGTAATGCATTTTACACATTGAAATTACATTACATTAAAAGGGACTGTGGATATGAATTAATGAGTTGTTGGTTTAAAAGTGTCTGGCTGTTGGATCCATGCTAATGGATGTGCTATGGCTTTGCATTCTTAAATTTCTGTCCACTTGTTACTAAAACACCTTGAGCTTGCTTGTACAACATGCATTTATAAGAAATGAATAAAAAAAAAAAACTTTGTTGCCCCCAAACGGTTGGTGCCCTGGGCTGCTGCCCCTGGCCCAGCTCATATCCAAGTATCCTCACAGTCCAGTGTGTACGATGTTATTTTTTTTAAAACTATGTAGTGGAGATATTAACTTTTTATAAAGACCTGGTTATGAGTCAGATTGGAACATTTTTTTAAACAGGAATTCTCTTACCTAATTTGATTTGGACCTGGACTTTGACTGGGCCTCCCTGTTGATTCTTGGTTTCTCTCTGGGTATCCCTGGCTTCCTTCCTGGGGTCCAAAAATAAGGATGTTTAATCAGGCTCTCTAATCTGCTCTTGCATATTTTGTGTGTGTCTCTCTTCGAGTCACTGTAACATAGACACTGAGATCAGTACAAATGTGAATGATATTTCACTCTGTTTCCAGCAGAAACCGTTTCCATTCTTTACTAAGCGAGCGGCGACCGTTCTGGCATGTCGGCACGTGCTGCTGATGAAAATGTTGCAGATATGAAAGCATTGCATATCTAGAGCTGGTCCAAATCAACAGAACGCTCGAAGATTAAACCAGAACCACCATCCTGTCAGCTCAGAAGCCACACAGATGCATATCTTGTTATCACAGGAAGTAGCGCTCCCTTATCTCCTGATGACGAGATAATGTTCTTGTTTATCTCCAGGAAAAACGGACTCTTAAAGCGCAAAGCAGATCTCTGCTTCCACACAGTCCCGCTCTGCAAGTGAAGATGCAGCGATTTTTAGCGGCCAAACAAACCGTTTCAGTGGGCGAGTTCAATTTAACCAAGAGAGAAATGCTAAAACGGATCAGCATGGTTCGTGACGGTGAATCGGAGGTTTGGCCTCTGAGAAGAAGGAAGTGCTGTGTGGCGCAAACTTCATCAGTAATATTATGAACAGAAACACAGCATGCTAAAATAAAAAGTGTTCACTCCCTTGGATGGTTTCTATCCTTTTTGTTGCTTTTGTAAATCAGTTATGATCAATAATATATATATTTTTTGCCAAATAAACATCCGTGAGTGCGGGCGTGTTCAAACGTTTTCAAACTAATACTTTTCCTCCATGTTTGACTTTACATCAGAGAAGACGTTCTCTCAGAATAAGTTGTGACTGAATCACCTAAACCTTTAAACTGCAACCGATGACATGACAGACAGGCTTTCTGTTTCAAACTGAGAAGCAACAATTATTTCTCTTGCCGCTAAAAAAATAGAATTTATTAATCGTTGCACTCTGTAATTTTTATTACTTTGGTTTTAACTGACCGACATGAAGAATGAGGGAACACAGAGTTTTATTTCTTAGCTAAAGATATTCAGAAAAATCAATAAAAAATCTGAATCTACTCCAGTCTGTCCATCTGAATATTGAACAGAAATATGTTGGTGTTTTAAAGCAATGAGGGAATAAGCACTGTTCTCTGATTGGCTCGGATTAAATCCAGGTTTATGGCAGAAAGCCCAGACTGAACTGTGAGGGGAGATGAGAATTGAGTGGAATTTTGTAGGAAGACGATGGAGGGAAGAAGGTTGCTGCTGAACCGTTCGTCAAAAATCTACTTTCTTGGCAACAGAGAAATGCCTAAAACCCTGTAGAACAGTGAAGGACCAGTGTAGACCGGGCTGAGACTGTTGAGTCTTTTACATCTTTGATCAAAACCCATTTTTATTCTATTGATTCAGAACTCAACTTTCTTTTATAACGACAGATATGGAGTATATTTGTATTTGATCTGCACATTTCTTGGGTGAACACCTGCCGTGGTCATGTGCTGTGTTGACATAATAATCTGTTTTGTCCTCGTTTCAGCTGAACCGTTCGCTCAGCTTCCTGGACGACAGAAGCCCCCAGCATCCCTTTTTCATCATGCTGGCGCCGCCGGCGCCTCACTCCCCCTGGACGGCGGCGCCGCAGTACCAGAAGGAGTTCAACAACGTGCAAGCCCCCCGAGACGGCAGCTTCGACAAACCGGGGAAGGTGAGGACATGGACGGTGTGTCGCAGCCGACATGAAACCTGCTTTTAGTCCGGATCTCTAAGGAACACCTTTTCTTCTTTTTTTTTTTTCTGTTTGCTGTTTCCAGGACAAACACTGGCTGCTGCGTCAGCCTGTCAACCCCATGCCGAACAGCTCCATCACATTCTTGGATAATGCCTACAGGAGGAGGTAGGAAGAGATGGAGTGGGGTGGAGTTTTGTTTAAAAATAACAAAAAATCTCCAAACGCAAAATAAACAAAAATGCAGATGCACAACGTTCACCGTGGAAACAAACAAACAAAAATCTCAGGACTGTTGGAACACGCAGCATTTTGCAGCATTTTGCAGCATTTTGCAGCATTTCCTGCACCAGAATGCTTCTCCAACCATTAATAATCAATGTGTAAGTCATAAGTCAATTTGTTTAGTTTCCTTGCTATGAAATATTCGGCTTTGTTATATCTCTGGTGAGATAAAGTGGGATCGATTGTGGATGATGGTGACGCATAAAACCAGAGCAGAGCATAAGCACAGAAAGCTTTATCCATCTTTTATGTCTGTTTCACAATCGCAACGTTTTCATTAAACAAGGAACACAATTAAAATCAAACATGAGTTCACAAGATAAGCCATTAGAAAACATGCAGCGCCACAATCCAGCTACTTCCTGTCGTCTTCTTCTTCATGGTCTGCGCCAGCGGCAACACTGTGACTCATTTGATGTGGGGAAAAAAAAACTGTTTCTATTGCATTTTACTGAGATGAACAAAAAACAAACGCACCTCATCCGAATGCCAGAACGTTTTCTCGACAAACAAGTTTTTTTTTTTTTTTTTTTTTTAATTTGCCGTGTTTCCATTGAGCAAAGTTATTCTCAAAATGTCAACAAAGGAAACGCAGCTAGCGATGAGCTGAATGTGGGTTGTCTGGTCCAGGTCTGATCAGAATCACCTCACTCAGACTGTAGCAACTGACGTTCCTGCAGACCCCACACATCCTGGACACAAAGTGTTCAACGTTTTACCTTCAGAGCGAAGCTGCAGCAGTGACACTTTCTGCCCCATTCTGTCACCCTGACTAAGACTCCAGAGTAAAATTGATCAGACATGATGCTCCGTTGTGTGGAGTATCATGTCTGAAGGAAAACGTTTCCCCCCTATAGGTGGCAGGCGCTGCTGTCTGTGGACGACATGGTGGAGAAGCTGGTGAAGAAACTGGACAGTATAAAAGAGCTGAACAACACCTACATCTTCTACACCTCAGATAACGGCTACCACACAGGTCTGCTCCGCCGAACCCCTGAGAGCGTCCTCAGGTTCTGTTCGGCATCTTTAAAAAAAACATTTGTGTCTCCTGAGGTTGTAGTTTGAGTTATATATAAAAAAAAAAACAAACAAAAAAAAAACTATTTCTGTGTTAACCTACTGTTAACACAGAAACTACAGTTCAAAGCTGCAACCGATGCTTATCTTTTCAACTTTAAGAAAAATAAATAAGTAAGCAGCTTCACGTCGTGTTTATACTTGTATGTAATTCCTCGGTTAATCTGCCCAGGTCAGTTCTCTCTGCCCATCGATAAGAGGCAGCTGTATGAGTTTGACATCAGGACACCGCTGCTGGTCCGTGGCCCTGGCATCAAACCAAACCAGATGATAAAGGTCAACCATCTTCCACCAACGCTGATTTTCACATGAATTATTGTGACGTTCTAATTAAAAAAAAAATTCTCCCTTTCAGGCTCCGGTGCTGAACATCGACCTCGCCCCCACCTTCCTGGACATTTCTGGCGTCAACCTGTCCACCGTCAACGTGGACGGACAGTCGTTCCTCGCTCAGATGGTCAGCTGCTTGGTTTGGCTCACAGACATGTTTCCCTTTTGTGATTCCGAGTCCACTTTAAATCCTGACTGAGGTTTCTGTTCAGGCCCCGTCGCTGCGGAACGGCACGGCGCGGCCCTTCTTCCTCATTGAATACACCGGAGAGGGAAATCCAGCCAAGGACCCGACCTGCCCGAAGCTGGGCCCCGGAGTGTCTGTAAGCAAATGCTGACGTCTTCAGAAGGGAAACGTTAGAGCGATTCGCTCTTCCATATATCAGCGATCTAAAAACCAGGACCCGTACGCACAGAGGGCCTGATGGTCTCAAATCTAATTCTCACTTGTTCAGATTTATAGGTTGAACTTTCTCTTAGCCTAGAAAGTCTGATCGGTTTGAGGAAGTGTGAATGTAACGTTATGTGATCTGGTTGATGTTGATGTAGACGCTCAGCTGTCAGCAGTTCACTGTGATTTCCTGCCTGTGTAAACTTGTTTGGCAAAGCGACCAACATGAAATGAGGAAGTAAAGGAAACCAAAACGGGAGCAGAACCTGCTGTTGCCACAGCACTGTCCGTCTCTACTCCGTCGGTTTTTCCCGCTTAAGACTGAAAGATCCTCCTAAATGCGCTGAGAATTTAGTCTCAGGTGTTTTGTGAACACATCTCATCTTACAGAGGGGAACTTCAGTGCCGCCCATCTGGTGGGAGGAAAAAAAAAACCCAAACTTTGCTCATAACTTAAAAACTCAAACCCACGACTCGTTCAATTCGTCACCATGATTTGTTCAAAAGTTGTTCTCATGACATACTGAGTCGTGTCCACAAATTAAACAAGTTGTTCCCATGTGTTAAATCTGGAGCACAAATTTTCTTTCTTTTGCTTTTTTGTTTCTTGTCACCAGATGAGCTGCGTAAAATTCTAAGAACTTTAGAATGAAAAAAATTCTACGCTTTCCACTGCAGCTGTTTCCAGTCTTGGGATTCTTTGTGTATTTATATTTCTACATTTTAAATGGTCCATTCTGGATGCTGGAGTTTGCAAGGAATAAATTCCGGGTGAAATGATCATTTCTCGCAGTAAGAATGTATTGGAAACACTCGCTGAACTTGTGAGCTTTTTCTAAACGCGTTTGAAGCCTCATAGGAATCCCAGGACCACAGATTAAAGTTACCACAAGACGTGTGCCGTGCATTTTATAATACGATTTTCTGTGCAAGTCCAACACAATTTATTAGGAAGTTATTAGACATTCACTTTAGATAGAAATCTCTTGTCACTTTACATTCCAAAAGTGTGCATATGAAGGGAACTTGAACTTGTTTTCCAGCAATGTTTCCCGAACTGCGTGTGTGAGGACGCCTTCAACAACACGTATGCCTGTGTGCGGACGCTCAACGGCAAGCAGGACCTGCAGTACTGCGAGTTCGCGGACAGCGAGGTAACGGCGACTCGGCACCTGAACCCCGGATCGGTGTATGTGAGCAGAGGCGGCGTTTAAACCTGTCTGGTGTCTGCAGTCTTTTGTAGAAATGTACAACATGACTTCAGACCCGCACCAGCTGGAGAACATCGTGAAGAAGGTGGACCCGTCAATCCTGCAGGACATGAACCAGCGGCTCATAAAGCTGCAGTCCTGCATGGGGGACAGCTGCCGCAACATCAAGTAGAGGGGAAGACGACGAGCGTCCTGATGCTTCCGGACAGGTAGACAGACATTTTGATTGGTTTATAGAGGAAATTAAAAAAAAAAAAAGTCAATTCAGGTTTCAGGCTCCCAGTTGTCTCTCACAGGAGACAATTGGTTTTCCTTTAGGTCTGTACTAAAGTGTTTCTAATGGTTCTTAAAGTTTTTGCGTAGTCCAGTGCTTCTCAATTATTTTCCTTTATGCCCCCCCTAGCAAGAAGAAAACTATTCGCGCCCCCCACTCCCCACCGTGACTATCCATCTCTGCATAACATTTTTTCCTTATTAACATTTTTTTCGCTGAAAAAACTCTAGCGGCTTATCGGCGTGATTGGGATGTAACGTATTTAAGTGACGCGCTAATTTATTTGGCTTCATGCTGTCCGCTGCGAGCATTTTTAGACAGCAAACACACCGTCTTTCCTCTTCTCCAACATGTAGTCACAGTGAAGCCAAGCGCTAAATACGCTTCGTCGTATTTCCTCTTCTTAGCTTTCGGTTGACTTTCTGTTGTCTCATTATCTTTGTCTCTCTCCGCTTTTCTTTTCATCCCTGTGAAAAACTTTTTCATGTTGGGGGTTGTTGAATAACGGAGGCCATAGACAGAACGCAGTCGGAGCTTTTTGTTGACTTAACACTGCTAACCAAGGCAAACCTGTTGTCTTGTAAGTCATAAAATGTTGCACTGTCGCAAACGTGACAGAAGTAACAATGAGAGCGCCACTGCCGCCTACTGTGCGCAATTACACTTTATACTAGTACGGACAAAAAAAAGCCTGTTCCCCAGGATCACACGCCCCCCCAGGTATCGCACCGCGCCCCCAAAGGGGGCCCGCCCCACTATTTGAGAAGCACTGGCGTAGTCAAACACCTGTCATCTGTATTCCATCTCAGAAAGCTGGAGGTCGTCCAATATGGCCGCCATGCACATGAAACACAAACAAGTTGCAGTATTCGCTGGTTCATTTATCAGATGGTGTCGAGATAAACCAGTGACACATTTTGTCTTGTTGTTCTTTGTCAACTTATCTCTAAAGTGTCTGAATGCTTAAAATGCTAATGAGTACATTGCTGTTGGTGTTTCTGGCTAATAGCAGATAGCTAGCTCACTTAGCAAAACAACCGGCTAGTTCTGCTGGATTTTCTGACCTTTAAGGCAAACGGATCGTTAGCTTAGCAACAGCTAGCCTAGCCAAGAAAGAACTAAATTAAAACAATATCCTGCTGCTCAAAAGCAACAACCTACATGATACAGGACTGAATAAACAGTTGAGTTTTACATTCAGCCGCCTTAAAACAGCTTTAACTGACGAATCAAAATGTCTGCCGCCTTTCACAGCGGTTGCCTGTTCATCTCGTCCTTTTAAAAGCATTCTGTTTGTCTTTTAAAGCACATTTCTTCTTTTTTTTTTAAGCCACGCTGTGACATCATATAAGACACACTATAAATGTTCAACTTTCTAAATGTTTAACACAGAAACATAAGAAGCTGTCAGACGTAAGGATTTGTTTCTGATGGTGACGTCCAGCCAAAGCCTCGTCCGTTCTGCCGTAGCCGTCTTTCTGTTGGACTAAATGAGACTTTAGGGTTTTTTTTGTTGTTGTTGTCTTTTTGGGTTTGTCGTCTCCCACTCCACGCAGCAAACCAGTTGATACATGTTTGTCAGCCAGCTGCAGCGTCACTCTCCATATTAAACTCGGTCACGGTGAACTGCAGAACTCGTCTGTTTTCATGCAGATCCTTTTATATCATTTATTCTCTGCAGCACTTTGAGGAAAAGAAATGAAAACAGAGTTCGGAGTTGGACGCTCAGTCCCATCTTGTGCCTTGAGATGTGAAAAAATGACATTTTATACTTAAGTTTGATATAATTTTTTTTTTGTGTGTGTTTTGGAGGTGAAGGATGTTCAGTGTTCTTGAATGTCTTCTCTGATTTCTGAATAACCGGAAAGGGATTTTTTTTTTTTAATTACCTTTAATCTTGTGTGCCTTTTTGTTTTTGCACAAAATATGTGTAAATTGCCTTAAATGTGAATGGATTTGCACTGTGATGATTGATTATTCAAATAAAGTTAATTTTACTATGATCATTGAAGTATTTACTGTTGCTGACAATTCAGGTCCTACTGGCTCTTCAGTTTCACTCGTTTTTGTTGAGTTAACCCAACATTGGGTTTTATTCCCATATGAAATAGTTTGAATTTGGTGAAAAAAGAAATTGCTATGTGTTATTACAGGTGTGCATAGTATTTATCAGCATACATCAGTTGGCCTTCTGGTCTTTAAATCAACACAAGGAGAGACATTTTTAGTTTGTAGAATCAGTCATGTGCCACATGTCACATATATTTTAACTGGACGGTTTCAAACTATTTGATTAATCCTGAGTTTGATGGCTGAAGATTACAGGTGAAATTAATTCATGATGTGCTTCGTTTAAAAAAAAAAGGAAACATGACATTTAGCTTAAATTAATTCTACATTAATTTATTGCTATTCCCAGATACATTAACATAATTTTAGGAGTTATTTATTGCAATGTGGCTATAATGTTCTAGATAAATATTTGTATTTGTTCTGGTGGTTACATTTTTTATTTATTTTCTTTAGAAAATTTCTTTCACTCGACGCAAAAATAGAAATATTTCATTTTGCCAAAATATGAGAGGAATCCAAATTTACTCTACATAAACTAGTTTACTTGGGCAGTTATTTGTGCTATTGATGATAAATTCAGTTTGAATGAAAAATACAAAAAATTTTAAATAATTTTATTTGAAGGAGTTATTTAGCTAAAGCTTTCTTGCAGTGAATTAATATGAATCTGCTGGCATTGTACAATAATCCTAAACTGTTGTCAGCAACATAAACTAAAGAGCAATGAGTTTCTGCCAACTTTGAGCATAAAAGGTCACATTGTACAGTAAAAGATGACTTTAAAAACCTGGATTTTATTGTTACCTTAATCTGTTCATATTCTATGTCTATACATTATAACACCAGCTCACGTGTTTACATCTCCATTCATTTCTAACAAATCTACACAGCATTTATAAATGGACAAATTTGCACAAAATGTACAAAATGCAATCTGATATCATGTCAGTCCGGACATTTTTGATTGAATGCAGACGCCATAAAAACAGGTTTGATGCTCCAGTTACAAATGAAAAGATACAAAAGACATATCAATACATCGCTGGACAGTTCTGTCCAATGCTCCTTTGTTAAACGTTTTTATTTTCAGACGACTCAAAGACAGACATGCTCGTTCTGTCAGACGTACTTGTACACGGCCTTTTCCTGCAGCGTCTGAATCTCTAACTTCACCGGACATTTATAGAAGTGGGAGAGCAGCGCCTCGGAATAGCCGATGAAAAAGTAAAACCTCTGAGGCGTCATCTTCTGCAGCATCAGCGCGCACACGACCAGCACGTTTCCACGGCGCTTGATCACCACCTCGTTGGCTAGGCAACCGTGGAAGGTCCCGAACATGAACTTCCGGATGAAGACGTCCTCCACGGTCCGCTCCGCCGCACCCTGCTCTCCCTTCAGGTTACCTGCCAGAGCCAAATATATGAACATGTTTTAATCTGTCATATTTCATATAAGTCCACCATCTCGACTGGACCAGCAACAAAACAAATGATATCAAAGTTTTCATTAGATAAAACAACATTAAATCAAGTCATATATGAGATATTTGCTCATTTTATGGCCATTTATCTCCATAAATGCTGAAAACAAATAGCCATAAACTAATAAAATATCATTTTATAGTCTGGAAACTAAATGGAAAGAGGAAGAGACCAAATGGTGTTATGAGATTTGAAAATGGGCTTAGAATTGGCCCAAAGACACCATATCAGGAACATAATGTGGCAGAACTGATGTTATCATGCATTTCAGTTGTTCAGTTGGTGGATTTGTGCTGTGAAGCAAAGTTTGGTCTTTTTTTGGTCGTGCTTACTGGTGTGCTGAGACAGCCATCCTTTGCGGTGAGCGATGTGATGAGGATGCAGCGCTTGCTCGTATGTCAGCGGCTTGTCTCCTTTGCCAATTCGGATCCGAGCCGCCCGGTTCTACGAGACGGAAAGCAGCAAATGCTTAAAGAGTTACGTCAGCACAACCTCCTTTAGTTGGATACGCTTCAGTCACAACCGATGAGGAAAAACAAGAAATGACCATGTTCTGACTTGCAAACGCATTTCACTATGACTGCAAAAAATTGTGTCCTTTTTTTAAAAAAAAACAACAAACAGAACAAGAATTATAATATCGCTCAACAGCTTACAAGGAACCAAAAGCAACAGAATGCATGTTTACCTTGCAGCACACTGCTGTTGCATGGAAGCTTCTGCTTTGGAAGGAACTGTACAGCAAACTAGATCGGGCCAAAGCAGTCTGAGAAAAATGGAAAAACATCATGAAGACCAAAACAAAGTCTAGACCGATTAAATGATGTTTGCAGGAAGTTTCAGGAAACAAAATCACATTCAGTGTAGGCAACAAATAAGTCCCACTCTTTATATTATTATTCTTTTAATTGCATCATTCAGACAGCTTCAAGACTTGTCAATATAATATAATTTTTTCAACCACAAAAAAAAAAAAAAAAATATATATATATATATATATATATATATATATATATATTATATATATATATATATATATATATTTACTTGGATAAATTGGATAACTGACATGTTTAGCGATTTTACAGTGATCATTATTATTAGGGACATTTACTTTACCAAAACATAAGGATTTATTTAATTATTCGTTCATTCATTGGCTATTTTATTTTTATTTCAATGGTTAAGGACAAAAAAAGAGATGTACTCAAAAGCTAAATACATTTTCAACAATAAAGTTATAAAGCTCTGAGGTAAGACTGAGTTTAGGTGAGCACACATTAAACAGACTAAAAGGTCATTATCATCAGAAATAATGTTCAAATATTCAAATCATTTCACTTTCAGTCATTTTCTTACCAGCAGCCTCGCGCTCCCTGTGGAACTCAAGGACGTCGCCATGTTTCCCTCTCGTTGAAATGTGAACAAAACGTCAACTAAAGGGAAATTAATTATTTCCTCACTCCGGAACAGTTACTAAGATGTGGTGGGATCAGTTTCTGGACGCTGTGATTATTACAGCTTGCGAAAGATTCCTTGAAAATTCATTCTTGCCTAAAGCTGCAATGCCAATCTGGAGCCGGAACTGGAACTCACGCGGTGGTTATAGGTTGCCGCCGGAGCCATAATAGCATGTACAACCGGAAATGCAAAAATAAGGCAGATTAAAAACTGGTACCAAAGTACAAAATTTTAGTGATAAAAACAAAGCATAAAAAAATATAATTTACAATTTTTCCCCTCAAAAATATGTTTTACTATTGATAAAAATAAAAATAAATAGAAAAATCTGTCATGATTTTTTTTAAATGTCTGTTGGAATATTAATTTTACTGTTTGTTATTACTATGTTGGTTTTGTTGCTTCCACTTATACTGTTGGATGTGTCCGGCATAAATTAAAACGGAAGAATATGATCAACATTTGAACTGCACTGAACAAGTAGTCAATTTAATTGTTTTTAAATACACGTTTGTCCAATTGTAGTATTAACTTTATTTGAAATTCACCCAATCCATAGTTATTTGGGAAGGTATCCAAATTAGTGCCTGAAGTGAACTTACATAGGAGTCAACTACAGAAAATATGACCTACTTATAAATATTATTAAGTAAGTGAGCAAAAATAAATACAAAAATTGATTTTTTTTTTTTATATGTTTAGTGATCATATAAATATTTTTGCATCAATTCGCCCACCATATCAGCTGTAGCTGTACGTGACTGTCTTCAGTCTAACATACAGTCTAGGAAAAACAAAGAAAATCTCCATAGAGAATAGTGGACTTTTATTTTGAAACCCAATAACCGGAACCAGGTGTATTGTTCTGGAAAGAGGAAAACATTGGTGAAGAAAGCTCAACTCGTCCCGCTTATTCGCAAACTTCTGCGTCCTGACGGTGTTCGACTGTCGGACTGAACAGTCCTCGGGTTTGTTGACAGACGGAACCATTGGACGGTCGGATGGCGTCGCCGCCGGAGATGACGGAGATGTACGACAACGCTCTGCTGGGGATCCTCCAGCACGTTGGGAACATTCAGGACTTTCTGCAGATCTACTTTGGCTTTTTGTACCGGAAGACGGACTTTTACCGGCTGTTGTCTGGTCCTGACGACAGGATGGGCTTCCCCCCCGGGGTGGCGGAGAAGATGGTGCTCAAGGTGAGTTTTTAAGTACACAGGCGTCATGGCAACGACCACCCGGAAAACTGTCATTTAATCTGAATTTCACGCCTTTGAACCCACATTACATCCTGTAATTAAAATAATAATAATAATAATAATAATAATAATAATAATAATAATAATTGCATTGATTGTGAAAATGTGCCAACAATTTACATTTTAGACAAGTTACATCAACATTAATGAATAATATTTGCAGGAAAATGTTAATTTAGTTAAAGTGTACTTACAGGCCAAGTCAGTCCTTGAACTTGGATTTATTTTTTTACACTTTGTGATTTTGCATCTTTCTTCTGCTGGAATTCCGCTCAATTTCAGTTCACATCTCGCTTCACAGACATGCTGAAATTTCTCCCATTCAACTGGATTCCTTCGGTAGCATTTCAACCTGACCAATCAGTGAACAGGAGGAGGAGCAGTGAACGACCACTAAGATTTTCTGCACTGTTTTAGAATTGTAGTCTGCCTGTAATTTGACCAGTGGCAGCAGCGGTAGTGGAGGAAGCCATTCAGTTCATATTGGAATGAATGGCATATTTTAACTTCTAAATATGGAATTGACATGAAGAGAAACTATTAAACGGATACATCTATATCTGTCTCTCATTTCCAAACACTTTCTCCTAACAGTGTATCGCTGACTCTGCGTTTTGCAGCAGCTTCATCTCTATTCCTACTTTTAATCAGGCCACATGTTCTGATCGTTCATCCTCTCCAGACATTTGGATTGTTCGAGAAGCTGGCGGAACACGACAGAGCGCGAGCGCTGAGCGAGCAGCAGAAGAGGGAGGCCAGCTCGCGTGCTCCCCCTGCTGCCCAGGAGGTGGAGGTGTCCTGTGAGCCCTTCCAGGCCACCGAGGGAAAGAGCGGCGTGGAGCCGTCGCGGACTCAGAGAGCTTCCTCTGACGCGGGCCAAGTTTCAGCTCCTGCAGCCTCTGGAGAGTCTGGGAGATCACAAGCTGCTAGCAGCGGACCAGGAGGTGAGGAAGGACAGGGAGCAGCTAACCGTACAGCAGCAGCAGAAGAAGACAGGTGAGTGCCCCCCCGCCATGTTCCAGCTCTCGGGTTCCCAAACTTTTCCATCCCCCATAAAGAACTTTCAAGCCGTATGAAAAACCCACAGACAATGCAACAAAATCTGTATAGAATGACACAAACGGTAAAACATTTATTTTTCTATAAATATTAAAAAGATGATCATTTACTTATACTGGTGAATATGTTTTGTAATCTCTCGTTCTACAACACTGCCAAATAAAATCTAAATCTATGTTAAAGCTAAATCTCCTAACAGAGCTTGACTTTTTGAAATTGTCTTACGCTGCCCTCCAGTGGCAGCATCATGCTATAACAAATGAAATTTCCTTTTGAGGAAGGCGGAGAAAATGTGTTCGAAAATGTGTTCAAAGGTTCGAAGGTAACGTTTGAAATAAAGGGGAGCAAAGTCATTTGTGGTGAATCACTTGAAAATGATTTCTGCCTATGTTTGCCTTTTAAATCAGTAAATAAATTTTTTTCTAAATCCTTTTTTTGTGCATGGTCTTGTTTCAGACCTCAGAATGAGTTCCAGTCCAACGCGGACAGTTACAACGGAGCCGTGCGGGAAAACTACAGCTGGTCTCAAGACTACACCGACGTGGAGGTCCGCGTGTTCGTCCCCAAGACGGTGGTGAAGGGCAGACAGGTGAGCTGAGTCCATTCCACCTCCTGACATGTCCGGACTCGTCCGTCGTCGCGGCGCTAACCGCTGCCCGCTACCGTCCCTCAGGTCAGCGTTAGCCTGCAGAGCGGCGGCCTGCGAGTGAGCGTGAGGGACGGAGCGGAGGAGAGAACGCTGATGGAGGGAGAGTTCACGCACAAGATCAACACCGAAGACTCTCTGTGGAGTCTGGAGCCTGGGAAGTGCGTGCTGGTGAGTGCGGCGTTCTCAAGAGTCTGACGCCGCTGCGCGTTAGTACCCAGGCTAACCCGGCAGGTGTACCCCGCCGCAGCTCTCTCTCAACAAGACGTCCGAGGTCTGGTGGAACGCGGTGCTGAAAGGCGAAAAGGAGATCGACATCAACCAGATCAACCGCGAGCGCTCCATGGCAACGGTCGACGAGGAAGAGCACGCCGTTCTGGACAGGCTGACGTTCGACTATCACCAGAAGCAGCAGGGGAAACCGCAGAGTCACGAAATGGTGAGGAGCATCAACATATGTTGTAATAGCCGCGCATCCGTTAACCATCGCACTGTGCTAATTGAAAATACAAAAATACATTTCCTAAATGGTAATGCGCCAATTAAAAAAAAACAACAACAAAAAAAACACTATTTGTTGGTTTTTTTTACATTAAAAATGTTTGCGCTCAGATGGTGTTTTTTGGTGTATCAAAATAAATGTATTTCATAAAACTGCAATGGAAAATTTTTTTCATATCATGTGAGTCACATGATCAACAGCTGATTTTACTACTGGTGAAAATGACAAAGACGACGACAGGAAGTCCTGTCGTAGAGGACTTCCTGTCGTCGTCTTTGAATTCAGGAACTCAGACTTCCTGTCCTCTGCAACAGGAGAGCACATTTGTGTGGGACAATGTGCTGCTGCCTCCACCAGAGCTCTGAGCGTCACAGTTCATAAAAACCATGTGTGTCGTTGTAACATGTTGAATCCATAACTCCTTTGTAAAAACATCGTCTACAATTTCCCCAAAACAGTACACGCTCCCAACTGGGCGGGGTTTGTCGCTCCGAAGCCTGAATAAGACGCCGACGTCTCCTCTGATTGGCTGATAGAAGGCGAATACTAGCATCATGGCTGAGTCGCAAATAAATCTGATTTATCTGTCGCTGCCAGGATTTTTAATTACTTAACTATTCGGAAAAAGTGTTTCTGTCGCAGCTTTGCAAAATGCACCAATTTCGATTGAACCTCTTCTTAGTGGAAATACTTTGAATCAAACTTTTTCTTTTCTCGATTCATGCAATTTTAACAGATAAAGCGGACCTCAACCTCAAATCCGACTAAAACCAAATCACAAAGTGATTTTTAACCCATCGGGTGTTCAGGCTAACATCTGCTTGTGCTTTGGCTCCTAGAAAGTGCATGAGATGCTGAAGAAGGGCTGGGACGCAGAGGGCTCACCTTTCAAGGGCCAGGAGTTCGACCCATCCATGTTTGACATCCCGCCCAGCGCCGTGCAGTTCTGATCGGGCCAAAGACGAAACGACTCACTTTTATCTACGGGACAGCATCGCAGGACGGTCAGACGGCGCACGGATAGGATCATCAAACAAGACAAGCGGAAGGAGAATAGTGACAGAGGCGCGTCCTGATGGCAAACACCAGGCTGTGAACGGCTTTCTTTGTTCGGTTATTATTTATTGAGATCCGTTGTGCCTGTTTCTCTGTTTTCTGGTTTGATTTTGTGGAACCAGCTCCCCCTGTTGGTAAACATCTTAACCAAAGTTTCTGGAGATTCAACCCAGTCCTGCTGCAAATATCTGCTTTTATCTGTGGAACCAATGCTGGAAAATGTCATAGAGATAAAGGATTTTTTTCCCACCAACTCATCAATTTCTGTCTAATTATAAAAGTCAAAGGAAGACAAACAGCTGCCAACAACATTAGCGAAGGGACGACCTGATGGGATGATTGTTTGGGTTAGAGCTTTTCAAATGACTTGTTGAATAAAAACATGTTAAATATATATAACAAAAAAACAAAACCTTAAATCTTGACATTTTATTTTTGCAGTTTTCAATTTAAAAGATAGAGAAGATATGAATGAAGTTTCCAGAGGTCACCAAAGATCATCCCTCTGCTAATTAATAAAATCAAATGAAATGGATGCAAGTCCGTAAATGTTTGTGCATCATGAGATTTTTGTGGCCCCATTCATTGGTTTTAGGTCCATGTGTGGCTGGGACTTTGTGAACATTT